CTGAAAGATTAAATATTATCCTGGCTATGGGTGCCTGGATGGCTCAGTTGGTTAAGCATCTGACTTCGGCTCAGCTCGTGATCTCGCAGTTTGTGAATTCAAGCCCCACGTCAAGCTCTGTGCTGACAGCTCAGAGCCTGGAGCCTACTTCTGATTCTGTGGCTCCCTACCTCACTGCTTCTCCCCTGTCCATGCTCTGTCTCTCTCTCTCAAAAATAAGCAAACATTAAAAAAAAATTAAATATTATCCTGGCTATATTTCAAGATTTCTTTTTTTTTTTTTAATTTTTTTTTTTAACATTTATTTAATTTTTGAGACAGAGAGAGACAGAGCATGAACGGGGGAGGGTCAGAGAGAGGGAGACACAGAATCTGAAACAGGCTCCAGGCTCTGAGCTGTCAGCACAGAGCCTGACGCGGGGCTCGAACTCACGGACCACGAGATCATGACCTGAGCCGAAGTCGGCTGCTTAACCGACTGAGCCACCCAGGCGCCCCGCAAGATTTCTTATCTATGGATATTGATACTTTGGTGTACCCTTGAATTTTCTCTTAATAGGTTTCAAAATTTTAAAAATTAGGTTAATTTCTTTTTTGTTGCTATTGTTTATTTATTTGAGAGTGAGAGAGAAAGAGAGAGCACAGCAGGGAAGGGCAGAGAGAGGGAGAGAGAGAATCCCAAGCAGGCTCCTCACTATCCGTGTGGAGCCTGATGTGGGGCTTGAACCCATGAACCATGAGATCATGACCTGAGCCAAAACCAAGAGTTGGATGCTTAACCAACTGAACCACCCAGGCACCCCCCACCTTTTTTAAGTTTAGAAATGAGGCTAATTTCTTAAGTTTACATTTATGAACAGAGTATCATCTGCGTTCAATCTTTGTAGGTCTCACTAATCTATATAAGGCAGTACTTGGATTACTATGAAGATATAAAAGAGTGATCTCAAATTATCTCTGCCACATATCAGTGTTTCATGATACTGCTTCAGCATAATTTTAAAATGAAGAAATACCAGATAGTTTTTTTTAATTAAAAAAAAAATTTTTTTAATGTTTATTTTTGACAGAGAGAGAGACAGATCATGATTTGGGTAGGGGCAGAGAGAGAGGGAGACACAGAATCGAAAGCAGGCTCCAGGCTCCAAGCTGTCAGCACAGAGCCCAACACGGGACTCAAACTCATGGACCACGAGATCATGACCTGAGCAGAAGTTCGATGCTCAACCAACTGAGCCACCCAGGCACCCCTAATTTTTTTTTTAACATTTATTTATTTTTTGAGAGACAGAGACAGAGTGTGGGCAGGGGAGGGGCAGAGAGAGAGGGAGATACAGAATCCAAAGCAGGCTCCAGGCTCTGAGCTGTCAGCACAGAGCCCAATGCAAGGCTCAAACTCACAAACCATGAGATTATGACCTGAGTCAAAGTTGGACGGTTAACTGACTGAGCCACCCAGGTGCCCTATACAAGATAGTTTTTAAAGTGATTGACCCTTTTGCCTTTTTAACTTGTGGGACAACCTATGAGATGCCAACTGTAAGAGTTGTTGAAATCCATCTGGAGTAACCACTTCTATTTAGAGTAGTTGGTAAGGTTTAGGGCGTAGACATTCCTTACTCATATAGGTTGACCCGCTGTAGGAGCAAAGGAGCAGACAATATTTAGAGCAGTGTTTCTCAGCTTGTGATTCTGGTAAGAAATACGTGTTACATTATGGTCCGGGCTGCGTGTGTTCACATGTGTACACAAATATACAAAATAATTCATGAATACTTTACTGTGTACAGTGCACTCTTGTTTTCTGTTTCACCTTTTTAAATGCCAAAAACCCTTCTAGTTGTTATCCATAAATTTGGTGTCAAAACCCAATAGTAGGCCATGTCTGCAGTTTAATAATCTGTATTTAGGATGTGCCCCTTATTTTTACCTTTATGTTTCTCTTTACCCTGCACAACTCTACACATATTCAGTATTATATAGTTTTCTGTGGAGATGGGTTGATAAACACCCATTTAAATTATGATTCAATTGCAATCAAAAGACGAAAATTCTTGGGACACATATAGATGTGTGACATCTGGAAGGAAAAGATATTTTCCAAACTTTTTTCAGTAGTTCTGAGGATGGGAGTCAGGATTACTAGAGGATCTCTTTTTTGTTTGATTTGGCTTTTCCCTGCTTTCTAAACAATGAGTAATTGCATACTCAGCAATTTTTGTTATTTTTTAAAAAACTTTTTAAAAAACATTTGTTTATTTTTGAGAGAGAGTAAGAAGCAGGGGAGGAGCAGAGAGAGAGGGATACAGAGGATCTGAAGTGGGCTCTGCCCTGCAGCCAAGAGCCAAATGTGGGGCTTGAACTCACAAAACTGTAAGATCATGACCTGAGCTGAAGTCAGATGCTTAACCTACTGAACTACCCAGGCACCCCATACTCAGCAATATTTTAAAAGGTAGTTCTAATTTGGTGGGAAAATAACTCATAAACCAAAAAAGAAGTCATTTTGGCCTGAAAAAAAATGCCACATTATTAGAATGTAGAAATTAAATAGGAAGGAATCCCTCACAGGTTTATTCCGTGCTTCTTTGCAGGGAAGAAGTTTCAGGGAAATAATCAAAGAAACAATTGTAAATTGAGGGACAAAAAATAAGCTTTAGTTACTACTCTTTCCCTATTTGGCATGTAATATCTGAACCTCAATTAATCTGCAAAGTGAATGAGTTTGGCTAGATTATTTAAGTTTATTTTCAACTTTAAGGCTTTCTGATTTTCAGTTAAATCAGGAATTAGATTTTTATGTACCTGCTAAGCATAAGACATGTATATCTCAACATCTAGAGTATTCCAGGCAGAGGGGTATGAGTGAAGATCAATGAAGACCTACATGAGGAAGCTGCTAGAACCTACTCGGGAGTATTTGAAGTTTGAGTGCTTTCTGGCCACTTAATCCTCAGGTTTTCTTGAAGTGTTGAGTGCTTATACATTCAATGCAAGTTGTCCAGGAAGAAAAAAAGGGAAGGAAGGAAGTTCTAGCAGTTTAAGTATTTAGTTGGAAGGAGTTGCCTCTTTGGTTACTATAAACTATGCTTTCTTTCAAATTACTTTGCTATATACAAGGTAAGTCTTACCAATATTGGAAGGGAAAAATAAAAAAGAATGTGAAATGGATTATGTTAAACCTCTGAGAATTATGTATTATTACAGGCTGATAATTCTGTGTTTGAGAAGCCTATTAAAGCATTGATACTTGGGATGGTAGGTTACTTAAGTATTATAATATAATAATTCTGAAGAGACAGTAGTGACTAAAAACAAGTTAAGTGTAGATATATGTTCTTAGAAATTATATATCTGTCTAGCTAACAAAAATGCACTCATGGAACAAGTTATGAATTCTTTAAGTAGTTGCAGAAGAAATGATTTTATGGGGATAGTTTGAGAAATAAATGTGAGTGAATGAATAAATGTTTTACTTTCTTGGTTTAAGAGAGGTAGGCTATATATTTAATGGAATATTATTCAGCCAAAAAATAGAATGAAATCTTGCCATTTGTGATAATTTGGATGAACCTTGAGGGCATTATGCTATGTGTAATATATAAGTCAGAGAAAAACACCTGTCATGTAATCTCACTTATATGTAGAATCTAAAAAAACAAACAAACAAACAAACAAACAAACAAACAAGATCCTGGATCAGATCTTGGAACAGATCATGTAACAGATGGGTAGTTGCCAGAGGCAGGGGTGGGGGTGGAAGGTGGACAGAATGGGTGAAGAGGGTTAAAAGGTACAAACTTCCACTTATAAAATAAATAATTCCTATGGGTGTAATGTACAGAATGGTAACTATAGTTAATAATACCGTATTATTTATTTGAAAGTCGCCAAGAGAGTAGGTCTTAAAAGTTTTCATCTTAAGAAAGAAAATTCTGTAACTGTATATGGTATTGGATGTTAACTACATTTACTATGGTGATCATTTCATAATGTATACAAATATGGAATCATTTTATGTTGTGCACCTGAAACTAATATAATGTTATATGCCAATTATATCTACATTTAAAAAAAGTGGAAAAAGAGGCTTTTGAGTTGAGAATGTAGTAGATATATGTCTGTCCTACACAACATTTCTGTGTAAATGAGAAAGATAAAGTTTAGAATGTGTAACTGACTTCGGCTTCTGAGAACTGGAAGAACATTACATTTAAAATGTAGCTGATAGTGTAGAGTCAGGAGAAAATATATCAGGTAGTATTTCATCAGGCTTTTCTTGGTACAGAGGTGTCTCACATGTCGGCACTGTGAGGGAGGGGAATAACAGTGTGCTCATGAAGATTCTGAGGCCTGTCCAGCATCTGCTAATAGTGCATTAACAGTAGCTAGCAAATGATAGGAAATGCAATTCTTTTTCAAAAAGGTGTAATTTTGGGGCGCCTGGGTGGCTCAGTTAAGCATGCGACTTTGGCTTAGGTCATGATCTCGCAGTCCGTGAGTTCAAACCCCATGTGGGACTCTGTGCTGACAGCTCTGAGCCTGGAGCCTGCTTTGAATTCTGTGTCTCCGTGCCTCTCTCTCTCTCTCTCTCTCTCGCTCTCGCTCTCGCTCTCTTGCTCTCGCTCTCTCTCGCTCTCCCTCTCTCTCTCTCTGCCCCGCTCGCGCTTTGTGTGTGTGTGTCTCTCTCAAAAATGAACATTAAAAAAATTGTTTTTAAAGTGTAATTTCATACAAAGGATTTGAACGATTAAGAATAATTACATTAAGATTGAAAGTGTATATTTACTATTTGGGATCCTAATATGTAAGGTTTGTCATTTCAGGCTCAGTGATCATGCTTACTTTTTTTATGCAATAAGAAATTCTCTGGGCTTCATTACTCTGTGCTTCATATACTTCATTACACAATATCAAAAATATGCATGATTAATTGGGGCTTAAAAAGCTTGTTCAACTTATTTAAGAAAAATTTGTAAATCTGATTATTTGTTTTAAAGCTGCAGAAGAAAGAAGATCAGCAGTTGGAGCCTAAAAAAAGTACCAGCCCTAAAAAAACTGCAGAGCCCACTGTTGATCTTTTAGGACTTGGTAAGTAGTAAAAGATACAAACCACCTTAAGAGTTACAAAATAATTGAGGTCTTTACTTGAAATGAATATAATAGCTTTATCATTAGTGTGCCAAAATATACCTGTTAACTGAATTTGAAAATGGTATGATCAGTGTATTCAGTTCCCACAAAAAGGGAAGTCTTTAATAAGAGAGCTAGTATCTGTCAGCACTGTCTCGGCTGAAATACAAGTAATGAGTTCCTTGGGGAAGGAAGAGATATCAAAGAAATCTTCAAAGGCTTAGTACACTGACATTTCAACATTTAAAATAAAGAGTAAGGATTCTTTTTCTCCTCTTTCCCTCTCACCCCCACTTCTCTTTATTTAGTTTTGTTGGGGGATTCCCTTAGCATAATGATTATGGGGTAGCCTTATTATAATATATGCGGGTTTAAAATAAAATTTAATTTTGGTTAACTGAAGTGATGCTCTTTATACCTAGATCTAGTGGGTACATTCATTTCCTATATTTGATGACAATAAGAAGTGCTCATTTTAATTGAATGTCGTATTTATTCTTATGACTGACAGATACATGTTGTCTGCCTGGTAAGTAAGCAGGCTTCCCTTCAAGGAATGCTAACATTGTTCTTATCTACAAATACTGTCAGCTCTTTTGATATCTTTCTTCTCTTCCTACAAAAATAGCTTTAAATAAATGGTTATTTTTAGTAATATCTGAGCCTTCAGCAGTAATTAATGTAAAAGATTTTTTTTTTTAGTTTGAAGAAAGATTAACAACAAAAAAAGAAGGATCTTAGTTGAACTTCATTCACTACTTTTCTAAAACTTGAGCTTTGTTCTTAGTAAATTGTTTTCTCTTTTAAAAATTACAATTGAATGTTTTATTCATTTCTTAGGAAACTGGTATAGTGTGCAAATAAATATATCCCAATAGGTAAAAATTTTCTGTGATGGTGAAAGTAAGTAGTATGTATAACTGTAATTTTGAAAATAGGTCTTCAGTCCAGGGGCTCTGAAATAATTATGTTGAATTCTAGTCTGTATAATTTATGTATTTTATTTTCTTTTCTGTAAATGAGAGAAAAGAAAAAAAAGACTTAATACCAAGGTAAGGAAATATCTGACTAAAACTATATGCATCTTTGTCTTCATTGTAGAATTTCCTTTCCAGTCTAAGTGCCTGGTTTATAACTTAGAAATGTAAAATATAAGCTAGACCCGACCCTTATCCTACAGATTCATTCATTGATTGACCAAATATTTATTAAGTGTCTCCTGTGTTTCCAGGCACCATTGTAGGCACTAGGGAGGTAGCTATGAAAGAAAACTGATAAAAGTACTAGACCTTTTGGAGCATTCATTCTGTTTGGGGAAACAGGGAATAACAGTTAAGTAAAGTATATTATGGGTCTTCTGTGGTAAGTTGTATAGATAAAGCAACAATGAGCAGTTGTAATTCTAAATAGGGTGGCCAGGGCATGGAGGGTGCTGAGTCTTACTGGAGCAAAGACCTGAAGGAGTTGTGGATGTCTGGATGTGTGGGGCAGGAACATTCCAGCAGGAGAGAAGATCATGTGCAGAGGCTCTGCAGTAGTGGCTTACTTATCATGTGCAGGGACCAGCAAGGGTGACTGTATAGCCAGAGTGGAATAGTGACAGGGGAGAGGAATGTGTGGGGTAGGTTGTAACAAGACTGTGGCTTTTACTCCGAGTGTCCTGGAAATATATTGGAGACATTTCAGCAAAAATGTACATACATTGACCTAAGATTTTAAGAATTATTGTAACTACCTTGTTAAGAATAAATTAAAAAAAAAAAAAAAAGAATACATTGTAGCAGGGCAAGGCTGGAAGCAGGGAAACCAGTAAGAAACTGTTAGAATAATACACGTGAGAGATGACACTGGCTTAGAGTAGGTGGTGGCATCGGAAGTTAAAATGTTACGGAACCAGGCTGGTACGCTGGCGGAAAAACCAAGCAGGACTTGGAGATCTTGGTGGATTGGAGATTTATTTAACACTGGCGGGCTCAGAGGAGACTGTTTCTCCAAAGATCTGAGCGCCAAATGCAAGTGGGGAGGGTAATTTTTAGTAGTCAGCTTCCATATCTGTGGGGTTTTCACGCACACAGCAAACAAAGGAAAAAGAATCCTGAGGAGGGGTCTCTAAGCTAGAGACCAGAGCTTGTTTTAGCTTCAACCGCCATTTTTGGTGCAGTATTTATTTACTTCTCCAACATTCTCCCCTTTGATGCCTTTAAAAAAAAAAAAAACCTTTTAGCAGGCATCACCTTTTAGTTTTACAGGTTGGTACCCTTGGAAGGCTAAGATACATGCAGTAGTTTGGTGAGCAACAGTGTTTTTAATAAAACATACCATGGCATTCAGTATACAGGGGCCAATGGATACAAGTAAAATTATGTAGAGGAGGGGCCCCACCAGGGTAGGAAGCCAGGATGCCCAATCTGTGAGATCCCATCCTTTCTATTGATTGATACTTTCCTGTTGTGTACGTTGAATTCTTTCCTTCAGTTCCTTAACCTTAGTTGTAACTATTCCCTTCTTTTTCTGAAGTGAGGAGGTCGAGGGCTTGCCTATTTTGGAGGATCACTGCCGCCAGAGAGTTTATTTGGTTTTGTAAGGTTACCAGAGAATCTGCCACCTGTTCCATGTCTTCATTTAGCTCTTGAGATAGTCTGTGGAATAGTCCTATGGATGAACCTCTGCCCCCTATTCCGGTTCCTATTCCTGTCGCAATTCCTGCTCCTATCAGAATGGGTAGCCGAACTGCCCGTTTAGCCCAGGACTTGGGGCTAAAGGCTATTAGGAGCTGATCTTCAGTGTATACAGATATCTATGGGGTTAGGAAGATGGAATAACATATCTGAGTCCAGTTGGCCTCTAAGCATCGGTAGGCCGAGTTAGAACACAGATAGAATACCCCAGGGGTTGAACATAGGGTTGTATTCCTCGTTAAGGTTATATTTCTTTCGCATAGAGAGGTACCATTCATACCTTCAAGGACTGTACAGATTAGATTGTTGGCATTTGTGAGACGTATCTCAGTGGCCAGGGGTCCAGTTAAGACAGAGGTGTTGGTTTTGAGATTTTCAGGAGCTTCCCTGGTCAAAGGGATCGGAGTGGCTAAGTAAGCCCTCCGGCTGAGGGGCAAGCACATCCAGCAGGTTTGGGTGTGATTATCTATTTTCTGGAGGACTTGGAGAGTAGTGTTGGCCCAATGCTGGAGTGGGGAATTGGTAAGCATTTGATTGAGGGCTGACAGGTTCAAACCCTGGTAGGCTGCCAGGGGAGTGGTCACCCTTATGGCTTGTATTACCCTATCCTGGGTATCCTTTATAACTTTTTGAAGGGCCCTGTCTTGCACCCCCTCCCCCGTTCGAGATCCCCCATTGAGGAAGGTAAGTGTAGCAAGCTGGCTTCCCTCTCTTGAGGCCCTTGTTGTGATATGGGTTCTTGACACTTTGGGTTATCTCTACAGTCCAATACTTAGTCCATGGGGCACTTGGTAACTGACAGAGAGTGGGTGTTTTTCCTTTGTAGCAATCTTTGTGGAGGGAGGTGAAGGTGCTGAATGCCCTTGACCCCCTTATTGTCATGTAACAATCCTGGGGGCAAAAGTGGGTAAGTGGCAGTTGTGAGGTTGAGAGAGGTTATCATAATATACAGGCAATACTTAATAATCCTCCCATCCAGAGGAGGTATGTGAGATCCAGCATTCATCTTTTGTCCCATGTCCAGCTTGTTGGTACAGTCTCTATCAGCCCAACAGTAAGAAGCAAGATCAGGGCTATGACACCAGTGAGGGGCAAGGGCTGGCAGAGTTGCATCCAAACCCCTGGGAATCCACATGTTGAGTCCTCAAGCTTCTGTGTGCACAGGCCACCCAGCTTCTGGGGTGTGGCTGGAGCAGGGCTGGAGATCTCAGGGATCAGTGTCTTTTTGAGGGTCAATTTAAGTGGGTTGACTGGATCTGGATCACTTTGCCAGGTTGAGGGTTCCTCTGAGTTGGCCTTCTCAGCTCTGGAGCAATGGACCCATGGAGTGATACCTGAAACTGAATCCTCTATTTGGTTGTATGTCTGTAAAGTCCACCTCCAAGTCTTCAAAAGGGGCGGGTTTCTGGTAGCTGTCAGATCAGGTTTAGGGAAGATAGGGTTTGCATATTTAGAGGTCTATCCTGTTTTCCAGTTGTTTAAATAATTATATGTTTATGGGGTCTTATTATTATCCCCATAGAATAACAAGCACAGAAGATTGCCTATACATGAAATACTGTGACAATTTCCTGAAGTTTACCTCAAGTTGTCTAGTCTAGGCAAACAACAAACATTTAAAGGCAATCATAACTAGAATTTAACATCCATAATGGTGCATTGTTGAAACAGAGTTTTTTTGCTCTAAAAATCCCCCCTCTCCAGAGATAGCCAAATTGAGACCAATGCATTTGTAGAACAAATCCAGTCTTAACAAATCTGGCCTAATTATTTACATAAGCTCAGCAAGAATAGTGATTGATCATGAGGATCTTTTAAAGTTTGCTTTGCTGGAACCTTTCATAAGGAATCTTGGGTTGAACTTTTAGTAGCGTCTCCAGGCCAGAAGCCAAGCCAAATACTTGCCGTCAGACAGGCCTACAATACCTATAGAATTGGGCAAATTCCTCTTCATGAGGTCCCCAAGATATCCTGAGGTTCCTGCACCTGCCAGGAAGTAACCTTCTTTACTCACCTGGTGAGGCTGCTGGGAACTCTGTAAGCAAGGTATCAGGCCAACCTTCCCAAGGGGCTTTATGGCTCCATGTTTCATAAAGCCAACCTTAGTTCCTTAAAGCTGTCTGGTCATATCTGAGTCTATGAATGCCACTCTCAAATATGACATTCTAGTCAAAGCCTTGGTAAAATAACCAGTATTTCCAATGGTGACCTGTTACAAGACGAACAGATTCTTATTGAATTTATGCAAACAATTGTAATTGCCACGAAAGAAAGAATACT